GAGAAGTAGCAGCTTGTGAATATCATTAATTTTGCAATGAATATCATTATATCTCAGTTATGGTATACGCCCACATACAATAATTGGCCGCCATGTTTTACGTCAAGCAGCAAGTGCTTTCTGTGTCCTGGAGATCTTGGTCACTACATTTTGAAGCTAAAAACTATTCTAGAGTCAAGAATAATGTCAAGAGAGCCAACCTAGGAAGTATAGTGCAATACTCTTGTTGTATGAGCCTGCTTTCCTCTTTGGGCTGTGACAGAGAGTCTAGAACTGATCGTTCTGGCTCTCCCAGACTTCTTAAGTCTTCAAAATATCTTGCTATAGTAAAGAACAGTTGATATGAAGCTTCTCATAGTCCTGAGTTCAGCACAACAAAAGTTTTATTGGCAAAACAGCTCTACTTTGCACATCAGCCATTGGAACTCTGCATAACTTTGACGTAAAACATGGCGGACAAAAATCCGTTCAATATTATTTCTTTGTATATACGGTATCACAAACTAATTCTCGCCTAAAGGGGTCTATAGCACTTCATTTTGGCAATTTTGCTAGAAATTGTAATTAGCAATTCTTAATTAGGCAAACTTTGTGTACACGTACATTACTGAACATTAATGATTGGCAGTTTTAATCCCAGAGAATTCACTGGCAAATTGCCAAATCCCAAAATAAAATCCACCAAATTAAAGTACTATACAGCATAGTAGCATACTATAATGTACGTGTACCTATACCATAAACTACACCATACGTTGCGGTACATGCATTTCCCCATACCTCTCTATGTCGTCCAATGCTTTGAAATATTCTTTGAAGAAGGCTGGAGTGAACCTGTTCTCTCCTTTACACATTTCAATGATGGCCACTGATCCCTTGCACTCTAATGTAACTGAACTAGCAGCAGTAGACGAGTGTCTCAATATACTGCTACTCGCAGACATCTTAAAGAATGAACTGATCACTGATTTAGAAGCAGTACTAGGAATGTAGGAAAACACGAGCAGCCATTTAGAAATTCAGATTTCAGAATTGGGTGTGATCCAGGGCGGAGTTTCACAAAAAAATGGCTGCAAGAGTGAACTACATCTGTTCTTGTTTCTTTCACAGAAATATTTATTTACAAAAGTACAAGTATCATGTTCATTATTATGATGATCAAAAGTTCATTGAGGACTACTCTGAGGTAAACTTAGATTGTCTTTGGCAATATCTCCCCCTCTCATAGACATTTCTACACTGGACTGTAGGCTGATGAAGACCTTGCATCAATATTGAGAGAGGTAGGTAGGATTCATTATACATAATGATTGGATAGGATAAGTAGTGTCATATGAGGTTGAGGAATGTCAGGCTTTCACAATGATTGCTTTTTTTATATTTTACTTGTAACTCTAATCAATGAGCATCCACATGCAAACATATCCACATTATTATATAGACCACCCTAGGCTTACCTGTTTCCTATGAGCTCAGCGATACTGCTTGATCCTAAAGCCTATAAAATTAATAGTCAGTCAATGGCAGGCATTTGTTTGTTCCTATTAAATTTTGGCAGATTTTTAGTTTGTATATAAATGTACACATGCATCTTTTGTCTGCACTATGCAGGTGTGCCTTCTAAAGTGAACAGTATGCTTATAGTTATTAGAATAATGAGAAGGATGTTAATTGGAAGTATTATTGAATGTTATTTGATCCACGTACATAGTACATACACATTATGCATTCACACACAGTGTTTGTATGGTAATTATTGTTTCAATAGGTTAAGTCAGAGGTAGAAAGAAGGAAAAATAGAGGGAAGGAACATGTGAAGAGATGTGAGATGGTTCAGAAATTATATCAAAGACTTGATCCACCACTTTATACACTGGATGTAAGTCTATTAGTTACTATACTTCTAACTATTAATTGTAGTTCATTAGTAATAGTTATTATTGCTTTAAAATTCAGTTTCTATTAATCAATCCTCAAAAAATTTTGCCGAACATTTTAAAGGGATATGTTGCCTGGTGCCATTGTTGCTAAATGTTGCATCAAATGTGCTGTTATACTCAATCTGGGCAATATCGAAAAACTTATCTATAACCTGTTCTTGTTAATTCACAGGAGTCTTACTTTCATTCTGATTTTCTCAGAATTACTAAGTATTGTCGTGACGAGCTGTCTCCTACAATGGAAGGACTCCTTCAAATTATAAGCAAAGAAGAAGGTAAGTACAAGTGTAGCAATGATTATTTTAATGCATTAATTATAACTGAATGTTATAAACACTAGAATTTAAATGATTAACCTCATATATATTATAAAGCTCTTTTAATTTTTTACATTGATTAGCTTCACGAGTATATTCATTTCCTGTCTTCACTGATGAATTCTGTAGACGTTTTCTTGATGAGTTGGATCATTTTGAGAGGTTGGATCTTCCTAAAGGACGTCCTAATACAATGAACAACACTGGGGTGTGTTGATACATGTAGCCATTAAATAGTACCTAAAGTACCTACAAGATGATTTATTGGCGAGGAATTAATATTAGTGATTGGTGGTTTTATGAAGAAATCACCAATATAAATCTGCCATTTTGTTTCAATCCAAGCATGCTCAATGGCACATGGCACAAAATTGCCAATATGAAATTTGCCAATTTCTTTCCGCAGGTAAATTTGCCAAATATTACTTCCACCAATAAATCATCTTGTACAGTATATGGTACATGTACGTGTACATGTACATGCATGTGTATACCAAAAGAACTAATGCTTATAATTGCAGTTGAGCCTAAACTCTAAAATTAATAATTTTTTTTATTTTCTAATTTTTACAACATTGAAATAATGCATGAAGTATAATATTCTGTCAATTAATAGATATTACTGGCAGAATTGGGATTTGATGATCACTTCATGAACAGATTCAGGGAGCACTACCTTCAACCATTGTCTGCTCTATTGTATCCTGAATGGACTGGCTCTTCTGGACTAGACTCTCACAGATCACATATTGTAACATATGATGCCACTGGTCCTACTGATAGAACTGATGTTGGACTCTCAACTCATTTTGATAATGCTGAAGTAACTCTCAATGTATCACTGGGTAAAGAGTACAGTGATGGGGAATTATACTTTGGAGAAATGAAAGGAGTAAGTACAAGTACACACACAGTCACACACTCAGAGTTTCCCACAAAGCATGTTTCATAAGCTACAATACAGTACATGGCATTTGGAAAAAAATCTGATTTTGATTGGAATCAGCTTTAACTTATTACACATACTGTACATGAGAACATGTATGTGTGTGAGAAAAATATAAAAATGGGAAATTTTTCCCAGTCATTTGTGATGAAATTAGGTCCAATTTTGAGCAACTTTAAATTTTTGTAAAAAAATCCAAATTTGATCAGAATCAGTTCATATTTTCTACACAACATGAAAACATGTACTGTACATGAATCAGAAAAAATATAAAAATGAAAATTTCTCTCAGCCATTTTTTAAAAAATTGGGCCAACAACAAAAGGCTATTGTCCTGGCCCAATTTTTTCAAAAATGGCCTTTTGCCTTTGCTTGTTGGTCTAACTTTTTGAGCAACTTTATAATTCATTAAAAAATTCAATTTGATTGAAATTAGCTTAAACTTTCTACACAACATGAGAACATGTACAATGTATATGTACATGTACAGTATCTGGATAAATTATAAAAATGGAGAATTCTCTCCTAGTCATTTAGGCCAATGATGGTCCAATTTTTAAGCACCTTGAAAAAATTGTAAAATAATCTACATGTATATTTGATAGGAATTATTTATACAACATAAAAACACATACACGTATGTGTATCAGAAAAAAATTATAAGAATAAAGAATTCTCGCCTTGTGATTTTTGTCAAAATGCCCTTTGGCCCAATTTTTGAGCAACTTGAAAATCTACTGACAAGAAGTTGCATCAGCACTATTCCAAAATCCTATGGGAAACTCTGCATACACTCATGTACAGTCAGGGGTACATTGAAAGTTATAATGTTTCTTTTGTCTCATGCATGTAACTTAAGAGTCAGTTTCATTTTGTGCCAATGTAGTTTATCATGTGTAAGATACATGTACCTTACATAATTTAAGCAGTAACTTTTCCTTATAATTGTTATTCTAAAGTAACTTACACTGAAATTGGTTTACCATAACAGTGTGGTCTTCACAAATTGGCATGCAACTGTGAAATAAAAGCACAGCAAAATATTTTTAAAAATTGCAAATTAATTTTTTAAAGTCAATTTAGCAAAAAATTTGAGACTTTTGCTTTGTGAATGCAAAGAAGTATTTTATTATTCTTTTCATTATTTCCAGGTTGTTGTTTCTAATCCTCGTCTCTATCCTTATTATCACAAGATTGGTAGAGGAGTCATTCACAGAGGACAGCATATGCATGGTGCTATGGACATCACTGATGGTACAAGGTACAACATTATTGTTTGGATGAGATCGTCTTCTGTGCGTAACAAACTTTGTCCACGTTGTGATCAGTCACCAACTCTTATACCATTTGAAGGGTATGGTGACGGGTTTACAAAACAATAATGATGTAGCTATTTGAAATAATTATTGTTATTATATTTATTTTATTTTATTTTATTCATCATGTGTCAAGCATTTTATTCATTATTACTATGGTTTTGTGCCTTAGTTAAAACTGTAATTGAAAGTTTAAAAAATTGTACCACGTAGCCTGAAACTTTAAAGCAACTGAACCTTCACAAATTGGCCAAAATACAGTTACATACAATAGGGCACCTTTTTCAGTGTTGTAAATTTTGAGAATTTGCCTAAAAATCTATTTTGCAGATTTAATTTTTGTAAATTTATGCCGTCTGCCATCTTTTACCATAATAATTTGATTTTCCCGAAAATGATTTTTGCGAATCTTTAAGAAATTGCAAAATCCACAAAAATTTATAGCCCTCGAAAAAAGGCACCCTACTATACCGTATAGCAGGTAATTTTGGAGAGGATAATTTTTGGCAAATTTGGTGTTTTGATGGTCATTTGCCAAATTAAAACTTGCCATTTTGTACCATTATGCGCATGCTCAATGGCATATGGCCACAAATTTTCCAAATTAAAACCCACCTGTATGTTGTATCACCAAAATTTTAACAAATTTCTTCTCTCCAAAATTACCTGCTATATGGTATATTTTATGGACTTAAGTGTTGCTATTTCACTATTAGTCTGTTACTAGTGAAAATTGAAGAAAGTTTAGTTCCTCATAAGT